CCACGGTTTTAGGTAACTAGCTAGCATTATTTAGCTAACGTTAACGTGATGGCTGAGAAAACTAAGTCAACAATATAACCGCAGGCAAGCCAGCCTTCATACTCAAATCGACGCTAGCTAGCTAGTTAACGTTACTCTTATACATGTCTGTGCAATAAGAAATTCCACATGCTGTTATTTGTTGACCCCTTTAAACTACAATGTATCGTTGCATTCCCGTGACTGACCCGAAGACACCTCGATGTCCCGGGGTATGATAGGGCTGGTGTCCGCTCTCCTTCCTCTGTTGTTGTGATGACTGGTGGTTAGCTAATGTTGGCCAGCTGTGCTCGGTCCAGTTGGCTAGCTATCGCTGCTAGCAAAGTTGACCGTTTTCAGCCTCGGTTCTCCATATACTCCGTCCTGCCAGACGACACGGGTTCAACACATGGATGGAGGAGGTTTGTTTAATAGCAAACGAGAGTCTCAAACTTTATCAGGTATGTCGTTATCAATCATTTTCCGACTAACATCATCACTCTCATCAGGCCATCCTATCTTTCTTGACGAGACGCCATCTTAGCTTTTTCTCACGACCGAAGCACAACCTCACATCTTCACACCACGTCCGTCACGTTTACTCCCTGAAAGTAGTACCCACGTACGCAAATCATAGTCATGCAATTACAAGCTGTGGTATAGCAGTACAGTTTTTAAAGCCAGCCCACAGTGAAGTAAGAATTGCAATCAGGCAACGGAAGCATACTCTTATTACAAGTAAATTACATCAAAATGTAATCAAATCAATCTAATTTGATTTTAAAAGTACATCGTGCCTATAAAAAGAAAACGTTCTCATGTGAACGGCCCCTTTTGTCGTGCCGTATCATTATCTTATTCTTCTGTTATTATTACAATCGAAGCAGAACTGGTCAAAGTGGCGTCAAATTGACTTTCTTTATATGTTGTTCAGATTTTATAACATTGTATAATTTATAAGATGCATGTGTTTTATGGAGCTACATTTGTCAAAGTGAAGTAAAAAGCACAATATTTCAATCTCCGAAGTATAAAGTAGCATACAATGGAACTTCAGTGAACCTCAAAATTAGACAGCAGATTAAATTTGATATGATAACCACCACTGATTGAACCACATTTTCTATTAATGTTAAAAGAGTGGCACAAAATAGCAATTTAGGGCACATAGACTAATTGTCATGTTTGACATTGTTTTGTAATCACTCCAAATTTCAAAATAAGGCAGTGATGAGATCATGTGAAAAACTAATGAAATCATGTGAAATTACCATTGATATAGTTCATATTATCTGGTTACAGGGCCCCTTATAAACTTGGGGGCTCCTCTTGTAGTCTCCAACTCTCATCCCACAATACATATACAGTGTATTGTCTTTCTATTTATCTAATAAGGATAACTAATGTTATGATGTTCCTTATTTTCAGCACTTTAATGGCGGAAGCAGACTTCAATATCACGTAAAAAATACACACACAGGCTACTTCACTGCAAGGACACTTTAATTTATCAGAAGCAATAAATATTCACATCTCAATTCTCTATTCTTTCAGTACACATAATACATACACAAAGAAAAAATTGAAATCATTTGTTTAAAATAATATCAATAAGTGCACTGACATATAAACTTTTTTAAGCTTTAATAATTTATATTATAGTAACTCATTCTCTCACCTTCAGTCTGAAATAATAAGAAAAGAAAAAGAAGTAAATTTTTCCTTTTAGCCAACATCTATCCCTGTCCCTCTTTTATATGTACATACTTAGTGGCACTCACATGCACGCACCTGAATACAGACTGGGAGTAGTTCATCCCATAGTAATGATAAGAAGCCTATGTATAGTATAATATGTACATTCAGGTTTATACAGTACAATCTATTCAATAAGTGCAGATATATTCATGCAAGAAGAGTCAAAATGGACAACATAAAAAGAAAAGGCTAGCCAACATATACTTATAAAATCTTCATTTGACATTCACAACTCTCTCCAAATCTCTGGAAAATCCTTATTCTTGAGGATTCAGATCTTCTTGAATTTCTTCATCTCTTTCAGTAGCTTGTTCCATAGATTTCTTTACTTTGTCCTCAGCGATTCATCCTTTCCTGAATCCGAATCTATGAAGTTTTCCCCTGTTAATCAATGGCACTGGAGGTAAACCACATCAGTGCTTCATTTCAACTTCAAAAATTGCAGTAGCAAAAGAAATAACACTTACACAAGGCCCACAGAAAAAAAAGAAAAAGAAAGGGAAATACAGTATGTACCTGTAGGCTATGTTACATTCTTGACTCTTGTTATATTTTTTAAACAAGGAGCCCTCAGCTGGATGCCAAGGCATCAGAAAATATAATAAGCAATTTCTAAAAGTGGGAGGAGAGGGAGGATTAGAAGAAGGCCATTTCTGACTTAAGACATCACGTGTGCAAAACCACAAAACCTCATGTAAAAGCGTGCTTCTTCAAAACATAGAAAAACATAGAATGACTAAATCTGATGACTGCGAGGAAATGAGCATAGGTGACCTGTATAAACACGAGGGAATGGCATCTTCTAAAATCCAGGTCTTTTTAAACCAGCCATGTTTTTTTTTCTTTACTGGGAGCCTCCTCATTAAAAAAAATACATCAAAAATCAATCTTTAGCTCAGATCCATTCTGTAAGTTCAAGTTTTGTTAACCACCCCATTTGAGAAATTGTGCCCCTGTTTGTTCGCATCAAACAAAACAGAAAAGGAGGAATATTGTCGGTGTTCAAATGAATTTGAACAAAACTAAACCTCATTCATTATTTTCAACAATCAATAACACTAATTATTAAAAAAGATGAACTCAATGGAAACCATGGTACTATGGAAATAAATCACACTTCACATATCAGAACACCCTTTAGTCATTATGGCAAACAGAGGGAATTTATATGTGCATATACTCTCTATAACCATGTACAAACATCTGCTGATATAATTAATCACTGATCAAAACAATTATTGGACAATATTCATCATACTCATAGCAGGTATATTATAATATCAATAAAACAGCAAGAAGCTTCAGAAACATTCAAAATATATTATTGATTGTATCATTAATTCCCATACCCCACAAGGAATGCATTACAAAGCCAGGTGGCTCCTGTTGACATGTAAAAGACCATTAAGCAAAAGACTGTCAGGAAACCGTGCACTGGTTTTAAAGTTTAAGACAAAGCAACATATCTGAGGTCTTCTTCTTTAGAAAAAAAAAGATGCCTGTCAGCAAAGCGGAACCCGCAAGATTGGACGGAGACATCATGAAGCCAAGTAAATTATTGCAAGGTCAAGGGACATTTTTTTTTGCAACTCTCTGCTGTTTTTAATGCCAAACTCCGCTGGAATGCATTTGGTGGTTGAGTCTTTATTTACATCCCCATGTAAGCAGCTGTTTTTATATGGTGTCTCCATGTTTTCCAGTGTCACATTATCACATCTTGGTACTATACATGTAAATGGTCTTGTACAGACTCAACTAGACTTCAGACAATTAAAACTGAGGCAAAAATACCAAGATATAGATGTAGCTTCATCTTAGATTATATGGCTATAGACTGTTTTGACATTGTGTGTGGAAATGTGAGGGCTGTTTGTTCCTGTGCATGTGTGTGTTTCTCTGTGTGCAGGTTTCAAGGATGTGTGCACATGCTGTTTAGCTTTAGCTGTGCTTTTTATCTCCACCTACATATGTGGGAAACGGAGGTGAAAGTAACAGAGACGAAGCAAACTGCGTTTCCTCTTGTCACTAGCGCTGCTGCTGTTACTTTCTGTCCTGGCAGACTTGGTTCTAGCCCTAGCTCTGCCCACCTCCCCGACTCTATCATCTGACCTCTGACCCCGGGGGCCCCACATCCTGCTCACACCACGGTACTTATCCGGTTGATAGGCTTGGATTTGGAGCTGCCCCCTGTACCTGTCGCTCCAGCCCCCGTCACCTGCGGCCCCTGCTGAGGCTGCCCGGGGTGCTGGGGGGGGTGAGGGGAGAGAGGTGTAAGAGGGGTAAGGGGGGACGAAGGGGGGGGTAAAGGGGAGTGTGGTGGGGGAGGGGGGATAGAAGAGAGAGGAGGGTACTGGGGCAGATACGGGCCGGCGGAGGCTGCGTGATGCGCATTGACGGAGGCGGATGGTAGGTTGTGGGGCAGAGTGCCGAATATGAAGTGTGTTTGGTGGGTAGAGTGGCTGGCTGGGTGTGGTGTGTGCACGTGTCCGGGGTGGGTTTGGGAGTGTGCGTGGGGGTGCGGGTGGGAGTGTGACAAGGTTAGTGGAGGTTTGGTACCAGGGCCGCCGCCCCCTCTGACAGAGTGTGTGGGCTGCACGTGGTAGAGGGCGAACTGTGGGTTCTGGGAATGTTGGGAGAGAGGAGAAAGGGGGGGGGGACATCCCACCACCATGTTGGCGTAGCGACCCGGAAGCCCATGCTGGGAGAGCTGGGAGAGATGGGCCAGCTGTGGGTGCTGGGCGTGCGGTGGGCCAAGCACAGGACGACAGGGTAGTGGGCCTCTCTGTATAGTATGAGGGGGCACACCTTGCAAAGGAGGAGGGACAGTTTGGATGTGGTAGCGATGGTGATGGTAGTAAGGTGGTGGGGGCTGCACGGTGGCCGCGTGACAGTACTGTGCGTGCAGCGCCTGGATTTTGGAAGGCCCCCCCTCCAACTGGCACAGAGATGAAGGGGAGTGAGGAGGGGGCCCTCCCGTAGTCAGTGGGGGTACAGGTGCGGGGTAGGGTGGCCCCGGTGGAATAAGGGGCCCTGGTGGTTTGGCGCGTTTGCTGCCGAAAAGGGAGCCCAGGAAGGAGCCACTGTTGTTGTTGCTGCTCCCCCCAGGGCCGCTCCCCGCTCCTGCTCTCTCTACACTGCTGGAGACTCCCCCAACTCCTGTCCCAGCAGTGGTATGTTGCTGCCCCGGCCCACCCCCCACCCCCGTTCCGGGGCTCAGGATGGGGCGGTGAGGCCGGAAGTCTTCTGTTCCGTAGCAGCCAGGAACCACACCTGGCACTGGATAGCGCTGGTGAGGCTGTGGGCTGCTAATGATGGAGCCCTGGGAGGATAAAGTATCATCATAATCACTGGAGGATCCCAGTGTAGCCCCTGTTCCCACTTACATCAACATACACAAGACATACCTGTATCTGGAGAGGAAAGACGTGCTCAGGGAAACACGAACGCTCACAGCCATGCAAAGGAGGTCAGTGCAGGACACACGCACATGCATGTACATGCGCACACATCTATATGCACACTGTACACACACTGAGCATGCCTGGGAAGATAAAGCACCACTAAGGGGAAATGGGGGAGGGGGTACTAAAGGTTACAAGTCTACATCTAGTCTTACTGAGACTTACTTCCATGGTACTGTCCAGAGAACCAACACTGTTCCTGCGACCACGTTTCCCTGCACCCCGCCAGGAAGAGTAAGGTTAGCAAAGAGAGGAAAGCCGGGATGTTGGTTCACATGTTTTGTTTTTTTCTTTTTTGAAAAAGATAAGAACTGCATAAGCTGTGTCTGAGTGTCAGTGAGAAAGAAGCACAGGATGTAGCAATAGAAACAGAGAACAAATCATCGTAGGAGTTCTGCCACCAAATTCAAATCAGCTGACAGGAAAGCAAATGGAATTGACCCTGTCTCTGAGGTTCTCTGAGGTTCTGTTGTCTCACCTGTCTCTGATAGGTCCCTGAGAGATGAGCTGAGCGCTGTGCGTTTCAGACCCTCACCCACCGAGCAGTTGTCATCAAAACTTGTCCTTCCCATGGTGCCATTCACAACATCGCTCTTCACACCTACGCCTCCTCCAACCACACCTCCAGTCAGCAAGCTTGGCCGCATCACACCTTTCTGTTTCTCCAGCTCCGCTGTAAATAAACACAGACGACACAGGGGAATTTAAAAGGGGGGTGGGGGGGGTGGGGGGGTGCGCTAAGCCATAAACCAGGAACAACAAACAATTCCGCACCACAACGCCTCTCCAGTTCCTCATAAACAGGCCCATACAGAACAATGATTGCGCCTTCTAAAAGTTATAGTTCACAGTAATGACCAGCAGATGGGGTACTTACATTCAACTCTATATTTTTCCATCTCTTGCACTTCAGCAATACTCTCCCTGAGGTCACTAACAAAGCGGGTGCGGTCTTGCTGACTGGGTGCCATAAAGACGATAAGAACCTTCCTCTCCCCACCCAGGACTGCTGAGGTCAGGCGGACTCCATGAGAGTAGTCTAAATGATGCAAAAACAGAGAAACGAAGGCCTTAATAATCATAAAGGGTTAATTAAGAATAGTTGAAATGCGCAAAAGGACAAATGGTTTCTTACATGAGTTCTGGAACATGTGCACTTGCATCTCAACCAAAGGGAAAGATTGTCTGAAACTATAAGTCACTGAGGTTTTCTTCTTCTGGAAGATTTTGGTCACCTGGTGCACAACATAGATAGATTTTTTAACTGAAGTGCATTATGAAAGTATCTGTATCTTCAAAAGTGATGAGTGTGAGTCTTACCACCAGAAGGTCATTAAAGAGGAAGACCTCTCGTTGGTGTACTCCTGTCCTCTGAGGTCTGTTGGGGTCAGGCACCTCATAGAGCTGGCAGCAACACACCAGCCTACGATGGGGAAGGGACAGCACCTAAATAGACAAAGAATTGAACTTTTAACTAGTATTGACAACATATCACAACAACCTTTATGTTGTCTTATTCAGGTACAAACTGGGTTATAACTCCACACCGTCTTGTCGCAAAAACTGTTATAAATTCACAGTTTGTCCCTGGAAACTTACAGGCTTCTTGCCCACAATGACTCTTTCCACTGCCTGCACTTGGGATACGTGGTCATCATTGGTCCGTAGCTCCCATTTCTGTATCCGCTGGTAGATCCCAACAAGCAGGTCCCTGGGTATATCCTGACCATTGTCTACGCCTTGGGTGGAGACAGGGAAAAGGGAGGGCTTTAGGAAATGATGTTTACCAAAACTGCTTTGTGCAGGTCACAAATTATACAATTAATCTAATGGTGTGTTATTTACAGTTTTCCCACACAAGAGGGAGCAAGACTTACTATAGAACTGATAAAAAAGAAAAACACTACTTACTAACCAAATGCATGCAAATGCATTTCTCTGTAATGACATATATTGTCATTTTTCCAGGTTACCCAGATATCATGTTTAAAAATCCCATTACACACTGAGTAAAACTGTATGATGCATGTTAAAAGGGACATTTACAATAGGTTACATCATTTATACGGCCTGATATGTGTCTCATAAAATTATGTATCAAGTGTATGTGTGTGTTTTTTTCCGTCCAGCAGCACCTCTCAAATTCTTGATGAAATCCTCTAGTTTCATCTTCCTCTCGGCTTTGACGTTGGGACTGTACATGTCTGTGTTCAGGAGGATTATGGCAAAGGCCAAGATGAAGATGGTGTCCGGGTTCTGGAACTGCCGAACCAGGGTTGGATTACACACACAGTATCTCTGACTGCATGAGAGACAGAAACGACATGTTCAAACATTTACGCTTTTCATCCTTCAACCACAGTGGCTGAAACTCAGTGTATCAGTCAGCGATCACCTGGGCTTCTCGCTACAGTTAAACCAATCGTATCCAGCACGGACAAACCTGAAAGCCTCTATGAGCCGCTCCACTTTTTGGGCTTCTCCCTGGACTTTAATCTGAGCCTGGAATTTCCTCAGAGCGTCATCCAGGTCCATACCTGAGAAGTCCATCTCATCCACCACACAGCTGAAACACACACAGCACAGGTCACAGTCTAACCTCTCATATGCCATCAACCTGGAGAGGAGTAATATTCAACCATCCATGCAAGACCGTGAGTCATGTTAAGGTCGATCCATTTAGAGTTGGAATGAAATATGTGAGCTGAAATGTGGTGTGTGTACTCCCATACTCACTCTAAAACATCTTTGTTGAATTGTTTCTGTCTGTTTCCCAGGAACTCTCCGATCATCTGCCTGCTGAGGCCTTTCCTCTCTAGGATGAAGCGAGCAATCCCGACTGGAGTGTCAGATACAAACCCTCTCTCAATCAGGTACTGGATTCCTTTCTCTGGCTTCCTACAGTCAATGAAAAGTTAACACAGACTTCAGACCACCACAGTTTTATTAGTTTAATTGTATGACCACCATCAAAACAGTTCCTCACAGGCTCTTTTGTTTATTAGTGTTTCAACTTACTTGTTGAAGAGGTTGAGACCTATGCGGTACTGGCGTCTCTGCACCACATCACTGTTGAAGGGCGGAGAGTCCCAGCTATGGCGACTCTCTCTCTGGTAGGTCTGCTTGCCCAGAGGAGGCAGAGGCTCCCGCAGGCTGTCCTGAGAGGAGGAGCCCGAGCTGCAGTTGACTGTCTCATTGGAATTGGTTGTGGAGTTGAGTGAGTCATTGTCTCCATCGGAGCAGCACGGCTGCTCCAGACCTCCGGGGGGTAGAGCTGTGGAGGAGGAGGAGGAGAGCGGGGTGGTGGGGGGCTGCTGCGGGGACGAGGAGGATGAAGGTGTGTCAGGGTACTGATGGTGGTGGATAGGATGGTGGTGGTGGTGGTGGTGAGCTGCCACCTGGTGAGGGATGTGTGTTGGTATGGGTCTGCCCGGGGCCCGAGTCTGACCCTGGGCAGCTGCTGTGGAGGACGGGCGGGCGCCTGTGTTGGGGGAGTGTTTTAGGGTTCCCTGAGGGGAGCCAGCTCCTACCCCAGGCTCCTGCTCATAGACCAGCTGTCTGCTCAGAGAGCCCCGGTCTGAACGGTCACTCATGTCCACTGAGCTGTCACTGGGCGGCTCAATAGTGAGAAGGGGCAGATGTGCGCCCCTCAGACGATAGTCCCTGCACTCGGTGCATGGGGTGCTGCGCCGACTGTTACTGCTACCCCCTCCCTCGGTGTCCCTGCTGTCCTCACGTCCTCCGACGCCACCACCGGGGCCCCAGTACTCTGTATCCGTGCTGCTGGGCGCTCGGTCAAGGGACAAGGGCGAGGACGGCATGCCATCATCCATGTAAAGAGTGACGTCACTGTACGAGGTGGCCGTACTGTCGCCGTGCATACTGAGTCCTCCTCCAGCTCCTCTGGCTCTTTCTCCCAAACCTCTTTGGGAGGATGGGTTGCTGCTGCTGCTCCACACACACTCCCCAAAGTCTTCACTTATCCCTCCACCCTCCCTGCTGCCCTCCTGGGAGTCATCGCGACCCGCGCGGCAGGTAAGGGCATCATCTATTGAGTCAGCTAAGGACTTGACCTAGAGGAAACACAAAGTGGGATAGCAGTTAGAAGGACTGAAGACACAGGTGCACTCACTGCTCCTTCCTCCTTCAGCATCTCATGTGTCAGGAAGTAAAACAAATGCACTGTAATACCTACAGTGCATTTGTTACATGTCTGAAATAGATGAGTAACGCAGCAAATCTACACAAACACTTTCTATGTCAGCAGCACGCTTTGGGTCTGAGGTCTCTGTCTGTTTCTCTAAATAAAAACCTTTCAGACTTTCATTGTAACTTTCACATAGGAAAAAGAAAACCCACAACAGTGTTACCTGTTTGGAGAAGGAGTCCTCTAAGTGGGTGTAGTCTCCTGGGCGGTCTGTGTCGGGGGAATGAGGAGGCCCTATGGCCACACTGTGGGTGAAGTTGGTCTGTGTCTGGGCCTGCTGCTGAGGCTGTCGCTCATCAAAGGAATACTGCAGTCTCATGTTGGACAGGATGATGCGCCGTGTCATGCGGCTCTCTGACGCCGAGCTTCTGAGGCGCTCAAAGTTCTTGTTCATGCGATACTGTCTGAAAGCTGTCTGAATGGTCCTCGCTGCTCTGCGACTTACAAAGGAGCCACCGTACTTTCTCTCCAGCATCTCCACCTGGCACAGGTCGGGTGGAGGGGGAAGGGGGAGAAAACAAGGAAGAACTCAGATTACATATTCACTATCTGGATGTTTTGCACCCGTGATTCCTCACTGAAAGGAATCCATTATCTACGCGTATGCTCATGCTCATGGGCTTCTAGGAAACAAACACAAACATTTACAACACAAACCCTCTGGCCAACAGCATCCTCAGCACTGATACCTTCTTATCCTGCAGATCTGTCGAGAGCTCGTAGCTGTCTGAAAGGGCCTTGCACCTCTTGTTCTCCTCTTCCTCTTGCTTGCGGAGGGCCAAACTCGCAGGCTGGTGGCGTGTTCGTAGCGCCCAGGCCAAGCTGGCTGAGCTGGAGGCAGCCACACATGAAGGGCCCCTGCTACCAGAGGGTGCGCTGCTGCTGCTGTCACTGTAGCGTTCTGAGCCGCGCAGGTAAGGTGTCTGGCTGAAAGGGTTGTCTTTGTGGGTGCCCGTCTCTGGACACTGGGACTCCCCTTCCACACTGCAGAGGAAAAGAAGCAGAGGGTATTACAACGAGTCAAATGAGTCATATGTCACCTTGAAGTGTGTTAAGAGCAAACTAGAGAATAAATAATAGAGTAAGTACTGAAGACTTTACATATAAGGACTTACATGTAGAGTTTAGAGCGGCGTGGAACTAGCCATCTCTTAGTGGAACTCATGGTGGACTTATATCAGCAGTAAACTCCTATTGCATCAAGGCAGTGAGACCTGACAACATTCCTTGTCTATATTATGCACTGATGATCCAATAGACTTAAAGGTCTCTGCCCTCTATCTCCTTCCTTTAATGAGTCCAGAGGATGGGTTAATATACTACTACCTTTAGCCTCGTAGTGTCTTCTCACTAGCTAGTTCCTGTCTGTAGCTGTCTGTTTCTCTGTCTATAGCTTGTCTGACAAATGCAGCTGTGATCGTACATTTTGAGGAACCATCAGCCGCTAAAACACACACCTTCACTGTCACATAGCAACAACACCATACTGACAGGAAAGACCAGGTTGTTATATATTCAGAGCAGGTGTAAAACATGCACCTGCAGCTCAGTGTGAAATATCATGAGACAAAACACACGTAATTAACATCCCCTCCCAAATTCTCTCTCTCACGCAGTTTTTTGCAGAGATGTAACAGCAGGCAGCTAAGATTTGCAACCAAATCAACAATTATCGTTTTGTCTGGATACAGAGGGAATCCATCCCAATTGTCAGTCAGTCAGCGTAGTCAGGATTCAAGTAAGTCCAGAAATCCTCCAGCGTCCTGTTGAGCACTTTTGCCCAGGCAAAATCCACACTGAACCAAAAACTCTGGTGAGTGAGTGTCTGGGAGAGCAGTTACAGTCACATGCTCCGGCCTACATTTCCTGCTTGTGTTAGCCGCACCCCCTTCTGTCAGCTGTGCCCTGTCGCATAACAAGGCAGAGAGAAGAGAACTAGGGTCTGGGATGTGTGGGGGCGTTACATTCAGCACATGAAATTGGCAAATGTTGTTTGATAAAGCATTGTGTGTGTGGTTTCTACCTTTTGCATAGTTTAAGCTCTGCATCACTGCTTAATTGGGATTTAAAAAAAAAAAAAAAAAAAAAAAAGACTGAAATGGTGCCCTGTTGACTCTGACCATTGTGGCTTTGAGTGGGTCAGCTAATGTCTGCTTCCGTCCCGCCTTGAGTTGTTGCTGCTCCGTTGGATTGCAGAGATTTCCTGTCCTAGTGTTTAGTCGGTGAAAACAAGACAAGGAAAAAAAAAAAGCCTTCTCCGGGAACAAGGAAATAACTTGTAGGTATTTTAATTATTAGTTTTGATCTTGTAAGTAATAATACTGGAACACAAATGCCAAAGTCAGTTCCTACACCAGCACAAGAGGGGAAAATGTTGTACAATGCAGGGTCTTTCAGCAGGACATCCTGTGCCTTCAAGCAACACATGACCCAGCTAAATTATTGTTGATTCTAACAATAACACTGAGGATAGCTCCATTATGTTGCATAACACGAGTCATGCAAAAGCCCAGTAATAAAGAGACACAATTCTGACATCTGCAGGAAAGCGCATATCACCACAGGCAAGCTAAGTTGTATATTCAACAGCAAATCCATATATTTATATTTATACTATTTGCAAGGAATTCATCATTCAAGGATAACAAGTTGTGCCTTGTTTCCTTTTTAAGCAAATCAGTTAAAATTAACAAGTTTTTGTGCACAAATCCATCTCCCCCGTTTTTTTTTTTTGTTGTTGTTTTTTTTTTCGTAGTTTTTTTTTGTGCAGCATCATTTATCATTCCTCCTCCTCTGCTCCTTAAATAGAGAAACTGAGAAGAGGGAGGGGGTTGCCTGGTGACGGTTGCTGTGGGACCTTTGTGGGCGGTGAGGCAGTTGTTAGGATGAGAAACGTAGTTGCCATGACAATGTATTGACTGTTATCACCACTGAGGTGGGTGTTGAAGATGCTCCACAGGTTGTGAATGACAGTCTACATAATACATGTCTTGTTATGAAAACAGTTAAAACAACAAAATATAACAGTGCAGAGCGAGTCATGCAAATGCAGTATTGTCTGAACTTGTTAGCTTATCAAACAGTTTAAGTCTGAATTCGTTATCTTGCTTTTAGTGGCTCTTTACATATTGTGTTGAATAAACTGTGGGAATAGAAAATTCTTCTGCAGAGGCTGCCTGAAACTGCTCCTTTTAAGGAATGGAAACTAGCCACATGAGCGCCTCTGCACGGAGCCAACAGGTAGACTCAGGCAGGGACACAGCCGCTCTGTTCCTGCCATCCACATCAGCAGGCACAGATGGTATTTTCATTCAACTGAGTCACAGTATCCGAAAATACATGCAACACAATTCACAAGTCTGGTTTCGTAAATTTTTATCTTGAAAATGTATCATTGATTCTTGGACTGATTTTACTTCTACATCCTTGTAAAATTTCAGCTGTCATCTGTTCACCTCTCATAAAGAGGGAAAATCAATAAAGAAAAAATACTTCAGACAAGAGTGGCATTTTCTCTAGAGGCTCAACTACCACTGAATCAGAGATCAACTCTATGGATTATGTGACAGTATCCACAGTGATTTTTTTTTTTTTTTTTTATCTCCAGTCTCTGTGCATATATCACAGATCTGAATTCCTTCTTCTGAGCACTGGGAGACAGATTTTCACATTGAGAGATACCTATTAAAGCTCTCCGACTCTAGTGAAATATAAATTAATTCTTTTTCAGCATTGATTTATTATTTTTTTTCCTATGCAAGGCCCATGCAACCCACTTTCAAGCATGCATGTATTAAACAGGACTTTCAATTGGTTTTGCCTGCAGCAAGAGCCAGGCAGTAATATGCGGTGAGACAAGGTGAGGATGATATCCAGTAAAAAGTTTGTTGTATAAAACATGAGCGTGGCCATATCGCAGCTGACATCTGCACCTCATTACTTATGTAAGAAACCCTGTATTCCTGTTACAGTGCCAGAGAGAGGTGCTCTCCAGAGAGCTCCCTCATAAAGACCAGCCCAGTAGTTTCACTACCTCCAACCATTTAATTGGAGCTGAAACAGATGGTTGGAATCTAATAAACAGGAGAGTGATCGCTGATAGTGTTAAAAGGAAGGAAAAGAAGTGGGCAGAAATCGACAAGGCGAGGGGGTAAACTGAAATGGGTGCAGTAAAGTACAATGTCAACTCCATGCGGTCCTCTGACTCCTGTCCCTCGCTCATATAATATTGATGCGCTGGCAGTGTGTGCGCGTGAGTTTGTGTATGTGCGTGTATGAAGAGAGCAGCAGTAGGTCTAACAGTGCCATCGAACCCCCAGCGGGACATGGAGACTGGGGGATTAACTTCTCTGCCGCCTCATGCCAATAATCGCATCGATCTGTCTGCTGACTCATTTCCACCTGAGAATTGACCCAGCGTCGTTATCTCATATGCTTTCTAATTGCTTCACCGACTGTTCAGTCAATTTTGCCAATTGTTCCAAAGCTTATAATCAAATAGACAGAACTGCAGTGACTCAAATGTGGACTATAAGTGATGAAAGAGGCAGAAAAGCCCTCAGGAAGTTCCCAGCCAATTACTTTGGCCACGTGTGATCTGATAATATTTACCATTAACTTCAGGGCTTGCTGTAAATTTCAGGGGGAAGAGATTGAAAACAAAACCTGAGAAATGTTCTCTCCATCATGAAAATAAAATCTACAACCGGAACAGTCTGGGATCTCTTTGTCACATGTGATCCCACTCTTTCAAACGGCCAAACTGAAAGGAGACAATCAAAATCATTCATGGGTCAGAACGGAGCATTCCTCGACCGCCAACACTCTCCGGCCACTTCAGTGTCTCAAGCTGTGAGCTTCCCATCATACAGTGACACACACACACACACACACACAAACACTGTTCACTTCTTTGCGTGACCCAGACCCTCCAGTTTAAAGCGCAATCAGACTCTGTGGTTTCATCAGCTGATGATGCAGCTTTATGTTAAACAGAAGTACTGAATTAACATTTAAAAGTCATGTAAAACCAACTTGTTTGAAGAGTGATGCAGTTTAAAAAATGGCAGTGTTTTGTAATCGCAAGCTTATCAGACAATCTCTGGCACTGCAGCGAGAAAGAACGAGGAGATAAGTCTTGTGTTTACAGGCGGGTAGAGAAAATAGAGTAAACTTTCATTACAAGTGGACTCCTCCTTCATCCTTTCTTAGGATAGTGATATTTTTGTCTGTATTTGACATCTGCTGCAACTATCTCAATCTCATCAATGACAATCTTTTTTTTTTTGTTGTTGACTGATTCACTTCCAGAGTTTGTTCCCACCTATCAAAACACATGTCCACTGTAGGGGACAAATTCTCCAATCTGACATTCAAACATGACAACCCCTCTGTACTCTGTAGCAGCGTTTGTAATTTGAACTAATGTACATAAGAGTTTAAATCGTTTTTCAAGAAGTGGCTATGGTATTTGTTCTACAGCTGAATGATGTATATGCATTTTCTCAAGACTGACAGCCATGACATGTTGGCAGATTAGCAAGACTTTGAAAGGTATGCGACCTGTCACCTGAACAGCATGTACACTCTGTCACACAGGCACCTGTCATCTATCACTACTTATGTAATTAGTTTCTTTGCAAAAAAAGGTTTTCTTTTCTTTTTCTTTTAAAAACACACGACCTGTTGTACTGCTGGTCGCTTCAGTTACATTGTACCTACACACAGCGCAAACACTGAAGGTATTCTTCTGTTGAAACCACATGACATGTCACTGCAGCGGAGGACGTCGTACAAACACACCAGAGTAACAAGTAACAACATCTTTCAGTGGTGCTGAACTTAATACACTTTTGTAACAGTTTTACAAGTGAAAGAAAAGTGGGAAAAAAAAAAGAAAAAAAAAAAACCAAAAGCTGAGTTCTTACCATGCTGCTACTGTCAGAGGAAGGTCCCACACTAAATGGGGCAGCGTAATAACAAACACACCCTCTCTCTCTCTCTCTCTGTCTCTCTTTCTCTCTCTCTCGCTCACTTCTTTCATACACACTCTTTCACTTTGGCTCTCGTTCGCCCTGCAGAGCCGTACAGGCTACATTCTTGACAGTCTTTTGACAGCTATGAACTTCCCTCACCGTGCCCAGCTTTCCCCCCCCTCCGCCCTCCCTGCACCACATTACTGGCACATTTATTACACAAC